GATTTCTGATAGATTTCAACTCAAGCTGTATCCAATGTGTCCCCCCCTCCCCCCCTCTGTGTGTGTATGTCTTGTGTGTGTGTGTGTGTGTGTGTGTGTCTCCCTCTCTCTCCAGGCATGATGATAATGAACACTAACTTAAAATTTTATAGAAAGAAAGAACTCTATTTTTAGAATGAGGGGGTTAAGTTAAAACTAATGTCGTCTTTTTTTTTTTTAACCTGATTCTGGACAGTTCTCATATTTATGGCTAATCACCTCCTCCTATGAGGTGTCCCTAATTAATTTACACCATAGCCATACCTGAGTCTGGATGGTGAATGATTGTGGATGTTGATAAAATGAGGTCTTTAATCAGTTCTGAGAGACTTAGTAGACGGAGAACCCAAGTTTTACTCTAATTCCTATGCTTGGTCATTGGCTTTCCAGTAGACTGCCCCAGGTCTGCACACACAAGTATCTCTTCTCCAAAGACCAAATCAGCAGAGCCATAAAACCCCACTGCTATAAACCATTGCACTAAGATACATTATCAACCTTTTGCTTTTAAATCTTTAAAACAGGACCAGGTAAGCATGTTATTATTACTAAATCAAAATTTTGGCTAAGTCTTTCAAATTTACTTTATGTTTGCCACAATACAATCATCAAGTGAGAACCAAATAATTGGTTGGCCTTTTGAGACCAAAGTAATTGGGAAATGAAGATCTTTCCTGTGAAAGTTGCTAGTTGGCCATTTTATTTACGTGTATTTTCTCACCAGAAGTCCATTCATTCATTCCTGTGCTCATCACTTCTTCCGGGTCTCATGTGGTAGTAGGCCCTATCTCTGTCTGCCTGTTCTCTCTCCTTGCTTCTCCTTGATGACACATGTAATCATAGAAAAACAAACAGGAAAGAACACCAACAAAATGGCAAGTGGCCAAGCCCTCATGTTAGTGTTAAAATGCCTTGTCTAGAATTCATTACTGAAGTAGGACATGTCAATGATGAAACATAAGGATCACTGTTAATAAGTCAGGGCCTGCATTTTCCTATGTTTTGTTTTCTTGATAATGATTAGGCTAAAATGGCTTTATGCCTCAGTAAATCTGTGCTGAGGATGCTAATTTTCTTAAGGCAAGGCATGTCTCCAAATATCACTTGCTTCTCTCAAACTTAATTTACTCAATTTACTGTGTCCTTTCTTGAAAATATTTATGTACTACATATATGTTCATAATCATATATTAGACTTTATATAGTTTACTGAAGCCAAGAGTTTTATAAGCTTGAGAGAAGCCATGTTTGTGTTTAAAATTATTAAACTCTACTTTCAAATTCCCGAACTATTCTTTCTTGAATTTTTACATGGGCATTGAGTCCCAAGCACACAATGTTTGCACCATTTCATGCTAAAAAATATATTCTGCCTTTGCCTGTGCCAGTTCCACTTTAAAGAAAGGAAAGAATATACAGGAGCATAATAGAACTCTATGTCCAATCATGTAGTTTGTTTTAGATAAAAATGAGCTTCAGGTATTGAGGTGGCTATACTGTGCATACCACTTTTATTTTTTTAATAAGCTTCATTATAAAAAAACTTATAAATAAAAAAAATCACACACAAAAGTTAACCAGACCCATCTCTATAGACCTCTCTACAGTTAGAATAGCCATTCTGGCAAACCATACTTCTGTTTCATGGCATCTCTAGCCATTATCTCCAAATTCCAATAACTGAGGATGAGAACAACAGTGTCCTTTTGACAATTATTCCTGTATAAATAAGCTACGTTTAGGAATCAACTTGATTCTCCAATTTAGTCTGTTCTTTAGAGATGGGAACCCATGTCACTTCTCTTCAGAACCAACTGAGAATTTGCAGAGTTGAGAAGAGTACATGATGTTTTTAGGAGGTGCATGTTTGTTTCTGTTGAGAAAACATGTCCTATTTTTGAGGAAGAGAAGATTTGTAAGACATCAAATGTTTCTTGCAAAACAATTTGATGAAATGAATGTAAATGAATCAGAAACATGTGACTTGTGTTTCAATTAAAATTAATGGGCTTAAATAGGAAGAGGGTAAACTGCTCAAGGGGGAAAGAGTGTGGCAAGGCAGGAAGTGACATTTGGTTTGTTTTCATCAATGCTGAGTTCTTGAAAAACAGCCTACTGTGAATTCAGCTTCATTCGGATTCTCAAAAGTCCACTTAGGAAACTGTAAAGTGGACGAAAAATATAAATCCATCTTACATATGCACGGAGCATTGCCACAGCGCAGGCATTGAAAATCGCTCTCATAGTGAAGTGAATGGTTCCCAGTGCTCTTCTTTCAAGGGTAAATAAGACATTATAAGGTTAAAATCTATTTGTCCCCAGGCTCAAACATAAACTTCATCTCTCCTTCTTCTTTCTAGTTGAAGAGGATGAGACATACCTGGCAAACATGTGGTAGAGAGGAGAGAGAGGGGTGGAGAGGGGCAAGACAGAGACAGACACAGACAGAGAGACAGAGAGAATAGCAGAAAGAAAATAAACAATGTTTGGGGGCAGGACATCAAGTGAGATTTCATAATGAATGTACTCAAACCAGAATAGTTATTTTAGAGACATTTTATCCAGTTTCATCCTTATATCATTTATGCACACTTCAAAGCAAAGATCAGAGCTTTAAAAATGTGATTTGCATTTTTTAGTTAAAACCTAATGGGTTACTCGAAAATATGAAAATAAAATAGAACAAATGGATGGTTGGCCTGGTAACGCTTGCTCATAATCCCAGCTAAAGACAGAAGCAGAACTGTCACAAGTTTCAAAGTCAAGACCAATTTGCTTCCTGTGGTGAGTTCCAGGAAACAAAGGCTGCATAATTAGACCTTGATTCAAAAATAAAATAAAATAAAATAAAATAAAATAAAATAAAATAAAATAAAATGAAGTGAAGTGAAGTGAAGTGAAGTGAAGTGAAGTGAAGTGAAGTGAAATAAAATAAAATAAAATAAAATAAAATAAAATAAGAGGGTCTATCTCAATTCTCTAAATCTAATTGTGCTGAGTGACATTACAGTCTTTGAATAGATACATGTCAAATGTCCCAAGAACTCCAAAAGGCAAGTCATATAGAACCAGAGTCCATATTTTACTTCTATCTTTTGAGTTACTATCAAACACGTCTTAGATAACTTTGAGAAATACATTCATAAACAGCGTTTTCTGAACAAACTGAAGGCCTAGCTCCTGAGAGGAGGTTGTGGGAGCAGGGATCCTTTGGGCTTCATGAAAACCAATGTCCAGCATCTATCTGGTTGTGCAGAGCCCACTGTTGCTCTGTGGAGGAAGGAGGGATGAGGGCAAGATCCTTTGTTCTGTTTGGTAGGATGTCACTGTTTTGTGTGCCCATCAGGTTGTTTCTCAAATGATTCTGGAAGAGTTGCCCCTTTCCTTTTCATAGGCAGATATTGTGAGAAGTCTTATCTGATTGGGCAGCTAACATATTTTAACTTCCAGCACAATCATCATTGGTCCTGTTTACTGTCCCTCTGCCCTTCAGTAGCTGGGGAGACTGGAGTGGAGAGACTGCTCTTGTGTTCTGCCATTAGTGGCAATATAGCAGTCAGCAATATGACAGCCTCTGAGGTCATTTTTACAGCAGGGACCTATCAGTGTGAAGTATAAATCCTAACTCCAACATAGGCCAATGAAAATGTATGGGCAATGTTAACTTCATGATGATTTTTACTTTCAAGTTTATTCTCAGTTTCATCTTTGTCACCATCAAAAGCCAATACTTACAAAACTAAGGGTCACCCCAGAGAACCAATGTTCAGAACTACACAAAATGGTATATTTCATTCAGGCACTTTAACTATGACATAGTTTCCCTTCGGGTTGGCTTCTCAAAGCCTTCTCAGTGTCCCATGACCTCACTTGTTGCTTTCTGTGCTGTTCCATCTGATGCCAGGCCTACCCTTGCAGCAGTGATAAGGAATGCGAAGTTGGAAGGTACTGCCACAGTCCCTACCAAGGATCATCAGCCTGCATGGTCTGTCGGAGGAAAAAGAAGCGATGCCATAGAGATGGGATGTGTTGCCCTGGTACCCGCTGCAATAACGGTAAGAGAGCTACCAATTGTTAACAGGTCTTTCTTTCTTAAACGGAAAGGTGTTTAATGCTTTTTTATACAGGCTCCTGAGCTATATATTTTTCAGTATTTGGGAGCTTTTACATCTTGGTTTATGTAGTATGAGATATCAGAGTCACCTTCCAAACCTTAGATTTCCTTGTGTCTGGCTACTTTGTAAACTATATTCTACATTGATTTAGGCTATTGGAAAATTGAAATGTTACATTTGTCTTGTTTACTAAACATATGAATGACAAGACAGGCAGTACAGTTGTGAGTCCATTGGCCAGGTTCATAAGAGTTTTATGTTATAGTTATTATATTCAAAATGTCCTGGGGCAGCCTTACTAGGTGAGGGAGGTGACTGGCCCTCCAAGTACAAAGGACTCTCACCTGTAGCCTGGATGTACTCAACTCTAATGAAATCACAGGCAGACATTTATTCAGGCTTGATAGTGAACTGACAAACAATCACAAATAACACATGATTAAGAAATTGTAGAAAGTGATTAGAAGTATAAGTTTAGCCATGAAAAACCAACTCACTGTCATGCCTCTTCTGGCCTTTAGGCAGAAACCTGTCATGAGAATCACAAAGCAACTGAAGGAAGGAAGAAAGGCTGGACTGAGATGTTTTACTCATGAACAAAATTGATCCTGGGCAGGCATCTTGCCGGATGACTTTAAAAAAAAGCCAGACACTGACTTAATTTCTCACAGTGTTGCTATTCTAAGATCTTTGCCTGTATCTACAATAATTCAATGAGATTAATTTTGTTTTGATTCCTATTTTGTTGTTGTTTGCATAGTGTCATTTGGTCTTGAAAGAGAAGAAATTCAGATTTAGGAAGCTTGGCTGTAGACCCAAAGTGTTCCATCTTCAATAAGTAAGTGAATGAAAATGAGCAGAACATACAGAGATACATAGCAGGGAGATTAGGATATAGACACACAAATGTCTTGCTTACATGGATAGAATGAACATCACAGGCTGTAGAGTTAAACTGATCCATTTACACCTTCATTTCCAGGCATCTGCATCCCAGTCACCGAGAGCATCCTCACCCCACATATCCCAGCTCTGGATGGCACTCGGCATAGAGATCGCAACCATGGTCACTATTCCAACCATGACCTGGGATGGCAGAATCTAGGAAGGCCACACTCCAAGATGCCTCATATAAAAGGTAGGACCACCTGTACTTCCATGGTTGCTTACTTTTTCTTTTATAAAGAAGTAAAGGATAGCACAGATAATTCATTTTGGTTCTATGACTCCGTTTTTAAAATGTTCACCAATGCACAATTCAAATTGGGCATATTGATTTTTAATTTTGAAAATGCTAGAGATTTCTTAGAATTGCTAGAAAGTATATATTATGAGAAACGTCTGACCTGCCATGCCATTTCTAAATATCCCTCTCTTATGAAGAAAGTTTCTAAACCAATCTGTCTGGTCCAAACCTATGAAAGAGCAAAGCACTGTGAAAAATACATAAGGCAATATTGCTACTAGCAATTAAATTATCAGTCATTTTTTCACCTTTGAAGATTCGATAAGTTGATTTCACTGAGCAATCAGATGGCATGTAATCCATAGACCAATCTAGAAGAAGCATTGGTTTATAATGGGGTTATGCATGAGTATAAAGTCTCCTTCACCCTGTGGAAACATTTCAGAATTCTCCTACTAACCAATAACAACGTTGACTAGTATGAAATTATTTTACAGTAATTAAAAAAAAAAGAAAAGCATAAAGCACAGGTATACCCAAAGGAGGCTTTTCTCAAGTGTATCTGTATATTCCTTTTTCAAGATGATTTAAAGTGCCCACTGGAGCACCTAGGGAGGGACCCATGGCTCCAGCTATAGATGTAGGGGAGTGTGGACTTGTCGGGCATAGGTGGGAGAGGAAGTCCTTGGTCCCATGAAGACTGGATGCCCCAGTGTGGGGGAATTCGAGGACAGGGAGGTGAGAGTGGGTGGGCAGGTGGATGGTATCCCATCCTTATAGAAGCAGGAGGAGGGGGGATAGGATAGGGGGTTTCTGGGTGGGAGGGAAAATGGAGAAAGGGGATAACATCTGAAATGTAAATAAATACCCAATAAAAAATAAAAAAACAGTGCCCACTGTTCTAAAAAACTTTATAATAGTGCATCTCCACTGTTGTTTAGTGTTTCTGATGCACTGATGTGCCCTGGGAAGTCCTGATGTGAAAATCTAGTTTTCCTTTCTAATCATGTTATTTCCATAGCTTATCTCTGCAAAACCATTTCCCCACATTTTTATCTTGGCCCCCGGATTTCTACAGTCCAACACACAACGACCTTTGAGACTCATTTGCATCACCTAAAATACATTTCATAAAACCACAGATTTACATGTTCATTAATGTCCTGTTTTTTATGGTTGAGTTTTTACAACAGAATAAAAGTGAAGAGCTGTAATAGCCTCAGAACCCTAATGTTTTTGCTACCTGGCAGCTAATACCACTTGACAACCCCTTCCTTATACTGAAACAGAAATCAATGGAGCCAAGATGTGTGTGGGAGGGTACTATTTGGTGACTTGATCTTTGTGTATGTGTGTGAATACAATACCTAAATTTGTAATCTCACATAGTGTAAAATAAGTTTCTGATTGCCCCTGAGCCTGATGACTCTGAGCTAGGCTGGATGACATCTCTCTGTTCTGTTCTACTCATGGTTCCATGCATTTCCCACCACTCTTTGTTAGATGCATTTGGCTGGGTTTAAACTGCTTCCCACTTTCATGGCCTCTATTGGTATTTTGACATAACTATGATTCCTTCAGTCTTCAGCTGCTGTCAGATGGAGCTTTAGGTGCTGCCTTATGAATCTAGCCCCTGGAAGGTGACATCACCTGCTCTTTAGGGATCTTTTGGTCTAAATGCGGTAGTGAATTCCTGCAGCTGATCAACCTCTCATAATTCTTAGTTCAACTACCATACATGGGACAATTCTCTGCACTAAGTAATGTGTGCTACTACTTCTGCTTTCATAGCTGGTCTCAACCAATAAATGATATCAAGAGTCCCTGAAAATTGTAGCTTTCTTGAGTCACAGCTTTGTTGAGATCTGTTGAATAGACATCAAGTTAATGAGTTTGAAACCAACTTTTTTTTTTAAATCTCCAATTCACCCCATAAAGAAAAAAAATCATCAAGAAAATACCTAAAGTTATAGTATTGACTGGGGAGTAGACTCCATGGGTAAAGTGCTTGCCATGCAATCATGAGGACAGGAGTTCCAATCCCTGCCACTCTGTAAATCCTGGGAAGAGCATGCCAGTTTATCTTTAACTCCAACCTCAGAAGACAGACACAAGCAGATTCCCCAGAGAAAGCTGGCTAGTAAGTTTAGCCATGTCAATTAGCTCAATGTTTGATTGAGTGATTCTGGTTCAAAGAAGGTGAGACAGTGATGGAGGATTATTTCCAACATACTCTGGTCTCTCAAATTTATTCGTACACATGTACATGCACATACACACACACATGCAGTCCCACATAAGAAAAAACTATGCATATATGCACACTATATGCACACCCACACCCACACCCACACTCACACATAAACACACAGAGAGAAATAGGAAAAAAATAGAATGTGATGAACTTAATATGAACACAGCTCTACTGTTCATTGAATTTCATATTCAGATGGTAGATAACGGAAACAGACAAAGGCAGACTTATGAGTGTAAAGAGAGAAAAAACTGGTATGAATCTAAGGCTTTTCATCATCATTGTCAGTATAATACAAGAAAGTATTTCCTGTGATTCTGATTGTAGAGTAGAAACTGCTGTCAAGAACACTTGTAAACCCCTTGGTCTTGTTTTCTGTAGGACACGAAGGAGACCCCTGCCTGCGGTCATCAGACTGCATTGATGGGTTTTGTTGTGCTCGCCACTTCTGGACCAAAATCTGCAAACCAGTGCTCCATCAGGGGGAAGTCTGTACCAAACAACGCAAGAAAGGTTCACATGGGCTGGAGATTTTCCAGAGGTGTGACTGTGCAAAGGGCCTGTCCTGCAAAGTGTGGAAAGATGCCACCTACTCTTCCAAAGCCAGACTCCATGTATGCCAGAAGATCTGATAAACACTGGAAGAGTCATCACTAGCAGACTGTGAATTTGTGTATTTAATGCATTATGGCATGATGGAAAACCTGGATTAGAATGCAGAAGAGTGAGGAATGTGGTAAGAATGTGGAGCAGAAGAGTGCAGGACTGAATTAAGTAGAGACAGTGACAACTTAAGCATGACCAGTGTTTCCATTATGCACCTTGTTTATGTAAATAATGTACACATTTGTGAAAATGCTATTATTAAAAGAAAGCACACCATGGAAATTACTGACGAATACCATGTGATTTTCTAAGAGTTTGGCTTGAGCTAGAGGGGACATTTCCTTCAGGTTGGCAATGGCTATAAAAATAACTTAAAGCCACATTTCTACTCAAAGCTATAGTTCAATTATTTACTCTCACTTTCCCTTGACACAAGAGAATCTCTAAAACACAGCGAAAGCTGATGTGCAGGGAATGAAAATATTCAGCATTATTAATCACATCACAAAAATCACCTTTTAATTGGGAAACTGTTCTTTTGATTTTCTCAAATAAAGGCCTTGGTAGACAAGAGGAAAAGGCAGTCAGTATTTTCTAATTCACGTCAAGATACTGGTATGTCATCTAGACATTCGAAAAGGGTAGACAACCAGAAGTTGTTTCTAACTGGATAAGGCAATGGATTAGAAATGGGTAAATGTATCTCTTTAGACCACTCATTTCTGTTTCAAAAACTTAATTTCATCTGAACTAATAAAGACAGATATAAGAGAAAAGCAGATTCTGCATTGGAAAGGAATGGCATTGCCTATGTGGTGCCTGCTCAGGCTTGAGCCGTTAGTCAGGTCTAGTGCAATGTAAGCACAGGGAAGACGTCTCACAGATTATGAAGCCATTAAAGATTTCTGACTCATGAGGAGAACTGAATAATGGAGTGAGCACTGTTTGCTACCACTTTGACATACCCTACATGTGATAGACTGATAAATATGTTTATGCTTGCATAGCTGGAGATCAGTAGGGTGATGCAGTCACGAGAGACTTGAGCGATATCTGTACTATGTTGAGCACAGCAGGGAAGTAGAGGGAACCTAGTCATTTGTCCAGGCTTTAAGGTCACATGTCTGAAGAACAGGATGAATTGTTATGACTGCCATCTGTGGCTCCAGAAGCAAAGTTGAAGCTGTCCATGAGATTTGCTCTCATGCAATTGTATTTGGTACAATGCAGCTTGCCCTCCCCAGCCTGAAAAGATTTCATGGTTTTGAGACTGTAAGATAATCTCAATATGAATAGGTTCTTACAAAGTGGGTTCCCTTAAGCCAGGTGATATGAGAGGAACCAATAGCTTCCCCTAAGCTTTAGAGTGATGATGTCATCAGAAGTTTGCATACTAACCTCTCAATGTATTCCATTGTCAAAGACATAGTTCCTATTTTCTGAAACTATTGAAAGTTAAAACATAATAGCATATCTTTAATCTGTCGAAATTCCCTGAAACCATTTTCTGATTAAATATATGTTGGAATACTACATCTAGAGCATAAAAGGACAAAAGTAAAAAGAAAGAGAAAGGAAGAAACAAGAGAGAAAGAAAGAAAGAAAGAAAGAAAGAAAGAAAGAAAGAAAGAAAGGAAAGAAAGAAAGAAAAGAAAGACTGAACCTACTGTTGCTTAAGCTCTTGCAGACCACACATCACTTTTGTGTTTGACTTGCATCCCATATGCAGTCTCAAAGCCCAGTCCAATCAGAATTTCAGCTTCCGTCCGACACGTTTTGTCAGGATGATGGTGGTTTGTGCTCTGCCTGCGTCTGCTAGAGCAGAACTCATAAGCTAATTCATCCAAGAGCAAACTCTGTAGTTTAAGCTTTGTGATGTGAAAAAATGGTACATTTTGGTCAGAATTTCCTACATAGCTATGGCACCTACCACCTAGTCTTCACACTATTCCCCTTATATTCACCCTCTCAAAAATTATTATTTGAAATAATTTATTTACAGGAAATGTTAATGAGATGTATTTTCTTATAGAGATGTTTCTTACAGAAAGCTTTGTAGCAGAATATATTTGCAGCTGTCAACTTTGTAATTTAGGGGAAATGTATAATAAGATAAAATATATTAAATTTTTCTCTTTCAAAAAGTTGAATGCAAAGTGCCTTGTGTCTTCTTATAAGAAAAAAAGGTGCTCATAGAACCCTAAGTTTTTAGACTTTCAATAGGATTTGGTACTAGTCTTGAGCCTGAATGGGAATCATCTGGATGTCAGCACCATGAGGTGACCCAGCTTATTGTTACCAAGACAACTCATTGTCTGACAGAGTAATTGTAATTGCTATTTATAAAGTTAAATCAGCATATTCTCTCTTTTTATTTCTACCTGTTGATTCTTCCTTTGCCTTAAGGAACCTCGTGAAATAAGAGGCCTCCACAAATGTCTCCAAAAACCTTTGATGGTGAGAGTATCTTATCCATGATGCTCTCTCTTAGAAGTAATTCCCCAAAATGGAGACCCAGCTGGTTTAGTGGGTTTGTTCATTTCCATATTCTATGAAATCACTACTGTTCAGTTTCAAATGTTGTACAAATGGCTGAGGTGCCTATTTAACATATCAAAGAAGACACCAGCAGCCAGATTTTCCCTGCGTCCCTCTGTCCCTACCTGTTATGCGGTCTTCCTGGCTGCCATACACCACCCCATCTCATACTCTGACCCTTCAGCCCAGGGTTCTGGGATGCTCTTCCCTACATAACTCATCCAATCATTCTGGTTATTTGTCTTTTTGTACATTTGGACGTCCTGGCTGCTGTCATCTGGCTTCCCATCTCCTCTCTCCCCACACAGTTCAGGGTCATATCCACTCTGGACTCCCCTAAATGTCCCTGCCTCTGGCTATGCTCTTCCACATATCTATAATAAACTTTCTCCTCCTTCTATACCTAAGGACAGTCATTTCTTTTTACATTTTATTTATTTATTTATTTATTTATTTATTTATTTATTTATTTATTTAATTCAGCTGCAAGTGGTCATAATTATGGCAGGAAATGAATCCATTTTGGGACCTGAATAACCCCAATGTACTCCTGGCAAGTTGGGGCTTCTTTTTTTTTTCTTTCTAAGCATTAAGTCAGGAGTGTTTGAATGGCAATTTGTAGTATGAGATCAGGTTGTTGTAAAAACCCATGTGTAGAAATACAAAAAGCAGATATTCCGTGGCAAGGTGGAGTGAATCACCTGTAGCTATTGCAGCTTAACGAAGCCAGAAGAGTCCCAAGGCTACAAGAAAGAGTTAAAGATCCCTGAAGCATGGCTGAAAGTTTCCACATCATTTTAATCAGTCACTGAGGGTATTCCTAGTCATTATTGCCTCAAATTGAGACCATTTGTATTTCTTTATGAAAATGTATTTTTATACTCTAACAATCATATGAGTGACATTTTTTTTCTTTTCCACTGCACTAAGTAATAAGCTCTGAGAAGTGACAAATGTCTTCTTTTCTCTCTTTTAACCAAAAAGTAACAAACTGTGCCCTCAATCATTTGGGGAACAATTATTTAATTATATTTCTTTCTTCCTAAAATTCAGGCTAATTAAGAGCAAAGATCTTTTGAAAGGCCTGCTAACCAACCAATACCTATTGTAGATAAAACAATATTAGAGACTATAGCTTTCACCTATGAAGAAGGGTCTTTCCATAAACTAAGCACTAGTGTGAGACTGTGAACATATGACAGTGAGCTACATCAGTCCTGGGCTGTGTACACATTCCTTTCAAATGTCAACATGGGACAGCAGAAGAGAATGACACACTTCCTTTCAGAGTTAGCATCAAAGGTAAGGAAGGAGTGACAAAGTATGTTATACATTTCCCACTCTAGAATTTTTATTGAAATTCCCCCCAAACTGGACAACTCATATCACAAAGTGAATAAGGGATGAAATTATTTCTTGACTCTGTATTAAACGAGTGTTCAAGTTATGCAATAAGACTCCCCCCTCCAACACACCATTCCATATTTCATTTCACTGTATAAAATCATTCCTATATTATGAAAATTGTGTTTTTTAAACTAAATTGTGACCTGCTATCTGCCAATGTGGTACTTTGGCTTGAGTATGACTTGGGTCTCAGCCAAGATCCATGTATAGGCAACTTGATCCCCTGGAGGGCATTATTGGATGGTGGTGTGAATCTTTTAAGAGATTGGCCTAGTGGAATACCCATGAGTCAATGGATATTGTGTAGGCATACATTTTTTTGCAATCCATTTTAATAAATATCCAACCTCTCCTCTAGCCCACCACCCAACAGGGGTAGTGGAAGAGAAAAGTTATTAGGATATGGGGGAAGAGGACCTGTTCAATAATAGTTCTTTAGGGATGAGCTTGATATTCTTTGGCAGAAGTTCAGTCCTGCAGCAAACACCAAATACGACTTAGCAGCTGCAGAGCAGTCCTCTAGGCAGACAGACCCCAGGCACAAACCAGCAGCTACAGTCCAGTCCTTTCAGCAAGCAAACACCAAGTAGCTGTAGTTCAATCCTGAAGAAACTGCCAGGCGCACCAACTGGCCTGAGGGGAGGCTCCAGATGTGGCAAGCTGCCGCAGGAACGTCACCAACAGATCTTGGATGAGTTTCTCTGAATGGCAGTGTTATCACAAGTTGAGCTCAGCAATGCTATGTAAGGTGAACCATGTGTGCTGTTAGCAAAGAATAACAAAGTGGAACAAACCAAACCAAGGCTCAATGCTCATCTCTTATTGTCTGTGGGGTCCTATTTGTATTCCTTCATCATGAGTCCTTTCACCTGTTTGGTATATCAAAACATCCTCTCACCTTTGTCTACTTCAGGAAAACAGTCTTTCACATGTTTGCTTTAGCAAAACATCCTTTAACCTGTGTACCCCAGCAAAACATCGTTTTACATAATTAACTTTCCAAAGTTTCCACTTTGAAGAAAGTTTCCACTTCAATAGAATAATACTAAGGAGTCCCTGGGAGCATGCTTTCATGAAGAGTAGTGGGACTCACATCTCTCTCAGTTTCTGGTTTGAGATATTAAAACTTGTTTCCAGATGTACACCGCCATTATCAACATCATGAGGCAAAATATCCAAGGAGACCTGACCAAATGCTTGTATTATACACTTAGACTTTTAGCTTGGAAAATGGATAAAAATTATTAATTAAATCAATTCCAAGATTACTCTGTTTCCAAATTTCAAAAATACCTCCCAATTACTTTTATCACATCAACACATCTGCCATATTATCTAACATAAATGA